TTTTATTTTATATTAGCTATATTTAAATGAACAAAAATGATTTTTAATAGTTTTTGTTTTAGATAACAACTGTGATACATATTACCTGATTAATTTTCATTCCTATTGGATTTGATTAAATTTCAGTTTATTAGTGTACATTGTATATTGTGCACTGTAAAAAAATTATCAACATTTAACGGTAAATGAATGGAAAAAAATGCTACAGTAAAACCTTAAATGGTTAATGAAAAGTTACTTCAGCTTGTGGAAAAGCTATACATGAATCATCATGTGACTTTTCTGTCTAACTTTCACCTGTGTTTTTTGGTGGTTGTCAGTATATTAAAATATTATTATAGGTTCAAAGTAGATTCAATAGGTTAGGAAAGGAAAAAGGAAGGAAAGGACGTGATGTGTAACATTAGTGTGTAACATTACACTAGTTAAGTATTTTAATGTGAATTTAAGTTCAATCCATAAAACCTAAAATGTTGCAACATATTTTTTTTTCTGATGAGTTTCTGGCAACTACTGCTGCAGTGAGTGTATATTTTGCAAAGTCAATTTTGCTTACATGGGATTCTCTCTAAATTGTACTAGGAATCTAGCATATATGTGTTATATACACTGTGAATATATTATATACATACCACACACACACACACACACACATATATATATATATATATATATATATATATACATATATACACTTCCAGCCAACTGGTTGTTTTATATAAATATTATTGAATATATTTTTGAATATAATTTATTCCTGTGATGTCAAAGCCGGATTTTCAGCAGCCATTACTCCGGTCTTCAGTGTATTATTATTATTATTATTATTATTATTATCATTATCATTATCATCATCATCATCATCATCAATGTTGAACAGTTTGTTTAAAAAAAAAATCTATATTTTTACTCAGCCCTATTGCCCCGTATACCAAAATGATCTTGTTCCCATACAGGGCTAAACTTTACAGAGTTCGGGACAAATGTTTAATGGGTGGATCATCTCTCCCCTGGGTACAATTAGTAGGCTGTACCTAACTGGGCCCCTTAACGCTAGCCCTGTTCCCATCGTGGGTCTACCAATAATTTCTTGGTCAACAATATCACCAATTCTTCATATATTGCGGTTGAAGCTCAGAGGCTTTCTTATTTCAAGAGCACATCTTGCATCCACTTTAGCCGTTTTAATTACTTGCTAGTGTTGTGTAGGGAAAGTCTTGCTTTCCCTTTCAGTCCCTCCATCTCTTGCCCCCCTCTTGGTCTTTTTCCTTCTCACATAAATCCACCCATATGGAACATGCCAATGATGGCTGTGGTTTATTCTTTGGCCCTCTCACCTTGTTTGTGCATTTCCCCCTCTTTGGAAGCTCTTAGACGATAACTCTCGAGTGTTGTTGCTTAACTAGGGTGTTCTTTTCTTTTCCGCCAAACATGGAGTTCATTAGACTCAAATGAGTGACAGGCTTTCTCAACTGCTCACTGCTTCCTACCTTTGATCCTCTACGAGCCCCTCTTGTACAGTTCAGAGCAGCAACAGGGTTCACACGGATTCAGGCTTCCTCCACATTTACCTCAACAGGGACCGGGATTTTGCCAAGTAGCCCAATAATTTCTTGGTCAACAATATCACCAATTCTTCATATATTGCGGTTGAAGCTCAGAGGCTTTCTTATTTCAAGAGCACATCTTGCATCCACGTAAGCCGTTTTAATTACTTGCTAGTGTTGTGTAGGGAAAGTCTTGCTTTCCCTTTCAGTCCCTCCATCTCTTGCCCCCCTCTTGGTCTTTTTCCTTCTCACATAAATCCACCCATATGGAACATGCCAACGATGGCTGTGGTTTATTCTTTGGCCCTCTCACCTTGTTTGTGCATTTCCCCCTCTTTGGAAGCTCTTAGACGATAACTCTCGAGTGTTGTTGCTTAACTAGGGTGTTCTTTTCTTTTCCGCCAAACATGGAGTTCATTAGACTCAAATGAGTGACAGGCTTTCTCAACTGCTCACTGCTTCCTACCTTTGATCCTCTACGAGCCCCTCTTGTACAGTTCAGAGCAGCAACAGGGTTCACACGGATTCAGGCTTCCTCCACATTTACCTCAACAGGGACCGGGATTTTGCCAAGTAGCATGTGTTTTGGGATCAAAAACTTTTTGTCGGTCCTCAAACAACTTTCCTGTCAACACAAACATAGGGTGTTGGTGAATATGGTCAGTTCAATACAAGTGAAGCTCAATCGAAAGCACTTTTGGCATAATGTTGATTGCCACAAAAAATTATTTTGACTGGTCCCTCGATATCATTTAAAATAAACGGTGACGTACTTATAATGAATGTAGACTATTTTTGAAGAATTTAAAAGCAGAAATGTGGTGCTTATTTTATATGTGCCTACATAAAATTTTATTTCAATGTTCTCATTTTTAGTCATTTTATGGTTTAAGGCATTACAAAAGTAGAAGTAAAGAAGCAAAGGTTTCAACAACAGAAAATATGTTGCTTTTTTATTTATTTATTAGTGTATATTAACATTGGCCACAGATTGGCCACATTCACTGTAAGATTTTATTTTATTTTATTTTATTTAACCTGGGATATTTGAAAAATGGCTTCCTATTTATTTCATTAGTTGGAAATTGTATTGAATTGACAACACCCACTGGACATTAAATTGAAATGCAGGAAGTGGGAGAAATTCAGCAACTAATGGCATTCTGCGAAATGACATTTTCATCATTTATGCTATTTATGTATGCTTCATATATATTTATATCTAAATTTATAGGTTGCATTTCAAACAGATCATCTGTTTGTCTGTAAGGCCTTAAACCTAAAAGTTCTCTTCTTTTTAAATTTCAAACATAGTTTTGTAAAGAATTCAAAGTTTGTCTATACAGACCTTCCTATTTTAGTTAAGAAATGTGACTTATTGCATTTATACAGTATGAATTTATTTACATTTCAGTTGATTTGAAATGCAATTTTGCATCCTGTTTCCTACCTCAAATTAATTTCAAATTCATAAAGTGAATAACAAAAAATGTTGTTATTAATTCAGTTCTGAACAATAAACTGCCCCTAAAATCTGAGGTAATTAATAGGTTGATAAGAATGTTGTTCCAGGAGCATGTCCTACTTGATAAAATTAATTCACTGCAATGAAAATGTTTATCAAATGGTATGACATCTTAAAAAGACATAACCCTTAATATGACTTTACGGCTCCACCTCAGCATCAAGTATGGATGGGTCTATTCCTCCAGCTGTCTCGCTGCTGAGATGACTCTCCCAGGCCTCCTTCTCTTTTATTTCCTCAGGATGATAGAGTACTGAAATGGAAAACATGTGTCTCCTGAGTGCGTAACATTATTTTCCCATGTGATGCCCTGGCAGCCGTGATTAATTAATGATAAACGTTACAGCGTTTTATCACTTTGGGCGACGATAATTTGCCTGCTTTCTCCTCATTTTGGTCTCACTGATGCATCTTCCACAAGCTCATGTCAGCTTTGAAATGAATCACACCACCTCGGACTGTCCCACTGCTGGGATTTGTTTATGAATATGCCACATCCTCTGTTCAAAAGACGCACGGTACATGCAAAACGACAGACACTGTATCATCTTTGTGCGTATCTATTGTGAAGTCGATTGCAATTCCTCTTTGGAATTTCTCTTGATTATTACTTTCCTGGAAAATCCCCAAGGAGGCAATGTCTTGTTTATGGACAATACATTAATGGAAGAAATTAGAAAAGGAGCATATTTCTCAGCAGCTGTGTACACATAGAGGAATCTGTGAAGGAAGCCATTAAAGTAAACGCCTGAACGGAGCTGAGAATTGCGATGCAGATGCATAATCACACCTCTGCGATCTCATTGCAATGCATTGCACCCATCGAACACCCCCTCAATCTGTTTGTTTACAGCTACCTTGAAAAAAAAAAGTGTTCTATGAACTGTTTAGTGCAAAACAGAGCTGTTAACTACTTACATAATTTGTAGCTCAACGCATATACGGTTTCATCTGTTTTACACCATCTCCATTAAATGCAACCCGATCTGTGTGGTAACAACATCTGAAGTATTCACCGTGTTTTGCAGTGTGAAATCACCATTATTCAGCATGTTAAACAGCCCTCGCCTCTTCGGTCATGGCTGGAGTGTATATGAACTGCAATCCTGGCATTAGGAAGGCCATTACGGCAGCCTCTCTGTGGGCCAGTCCAGATAAAATAGGATTCGAAAATACTTTGGGATTTTATGTCCATCAGCACATTGGAACCGAATGAAATGGATGATGGTAATGACTTGCAGGCCAGGCGAGCGCAACGTCCCACATCTCTGCATGGAGGCCATTTTGTTGCCAGATCCCTTCCCGCACGCTTGTCAGTTGCAGTGGAGTGGCAAGGAGGCAAAAACAAGATCAGAGTGACGAAGGTGGCTGCTGGCCAAGCAGCTCCTGTCGGATGTGAGTTCAGGGGACTGTTACTTAGGGATTTTTGAGGGGAAAACCCTCCGTCAACTGAATGTAGACACACACAAACCACACACATGGCGAATGGAATCACGCACAACACATCTGTGATCTGTGTTTATTTGTATTTACAAATATGTGGATCGTAGTGTATAATACATCACCATTTTAACACGGTGAAATATTTGTGGATTAGGTCGAACGTTTCAGTCTCGCGAGACTTTACAAGTGTTTGTATGAAATGATGCTGTGTTTGCGATGACTGTGCAGTTAAAAAAAAATGTCACTGTATAATGCAAAAAAGGCTTTTGAATGAAATTGGATTATACTAAAATAGTACTTAAAAAGCTCTGTGAAATATAGCAAGAGTGAGTGGAAGAGACGGAAAGAAAGCTTGGCATTTGGTAATGACAGATTAATGGCCTGTGAGCGAATAATAACATGTTCGGTTGTGCTCGTGTCCCGTTGATTTATGTCGGTTTTAACAGGGCAGATACATAATTACTTATGATTTTTGTCCTCTATAGGTCTTGTGGAGATTTGCTTGATGCACCCATTGGATGTTGTGAAGACCAGGTAAAATATCATTCCTTTCTGTTCTTAATTCAGGGCTAGGCATTTTCTTCTTCTTGTGGCAGTTGTGGAATATTTCTGTGGAAAATGAAATGCATCATTTACTAATTTTCCTTCAATGTTTAAGTAATACTTTTTAATGTTCTCAAATTGCTCACATACTTGCCTCATTATTTCACTTAATTATATCCCTTGTTTAATGCCTGTGCTTATGTGAATTGTGAGCCAAGGCTGCATTAACAAAACGGCACCCAATTGTTTTTTTGTTTTTCCATTAACTGCTCTTGCATGTGTGTTCCTGAAATATTGACACTTCCTTAACCCTAGAGAGCCTACTGTGTCATATTTAATATAGCACTCTGAATTATCAACATGATAAAAAAAAACTAAAAAAAAACTAAACCTGTTTTACACAATCTACTACATGCCTTTGCTCTCTGATTAATAGTTCATACATTTTTAGTAAGTAAGAGGCCTTTTGTTATAATTCTTAAAAGTGTATTTTTGCTCTGAAAACTAAGTCTTTTTATAAAGTAAATGTAAGGATAACTTTTTGATTTTTTTCAAGATATTTACTGGACTGATGAAACTTAGGTTTACTTTATTATCCATGCGCCTTTTTTGAGAACTAAAACATGAAAAAAGATGAAAAATCTTGTTGAAATTTAATTAGCAAGAATGATACAACAGGAACATTTATTTATTATTTAATACAAAACAAAAAGCACATGCAAACTTTTACGTTTGTATGTTTACTTTGTCTAAAATTTCAATAAACTGTTCCATTTAAAAGCTATCCTCTTCTAAATTTATATAGTGTGACCAGTGTAGTCTGATTCCCAAACAAATGTGTTTGTTTTGTTTTTCGTTTAGAGTCAACTAACAGTTAAACTTAAATTAGTTACTCACTAGTTGTTAAAAAAGCACATCATGCATTTCATCAGGAGAATTTTATGTAAATAAATGTTTTGTATATTTAATAGTGTTGTTTAGTTTTTAGTTACAGTCAGTCATGAGACAGTATTTATGATGCCTAAAATTAATAATAATAATAATAATAATAATAATAATAATTAACCATCTATAAAAAGTCATTTAAAAATGACCCTATTCCAATTTTTTTTTTTACATTTATATAAATTATAGCTCATTATGTGGCCATTGAATTGCTTTTTCCTCCAAATAAATATTATTTCTTTTGTATAAGAATCATTGATGAAAATGGAATAATTACCAGAGCCTAGAATCGTTAAATTATTTACAGTTCTCATTAGTAATACCCATCAATTCTGAATCTTTTGGGCATGAAGGAAAGAAGGAATGTTGAAAAGAGGGAAAGAGAAAATTAATCAGGGCCCTCAGTATGGCGTAAACAGGTTGTGGGCCGGTACTAAACCTTTACGGCTTCTGGGTGCCCTGTCAAGACCTCTGGCTCTGTGACTAACACCCCTTACACATACGCTATGATGTTTCACATTTTCCGCCACCGTTTTCTGGTAAATAAACTTTGAGATGATAATTAGATATTTGTACTTTGGAGAGGACATGTGGTAGTCAAGGTGGCTTGTTTGTGTTTCTTTGTGTCTATTTGCATGATTTTGTTTGCGGCAGTATGTCTGTGTGTATACTTGTATGCAGCGACATTTGATACTCTAGAGTCCTGTAGAGTGATTTAAGATCTGGTGCTGCTGGTTGAGGGTTTATTACAGGTAAGGCCACAGTTAGGCGGCTCTCTCCTCACACAGGGTCAGGGTTAAGAGTGCACTTTCTATTTTCTTTGTAATGCTCTTCCTTAAGAATGGATAAAAGCCCTGTGTAAAGAGCGGCAGTTTTATTTATTTGTTTTCTGTGGGTTTCTCTGTTATTGTGAGTGCATCCAGTCTACTGCGTAACGCATGTGAGTGTGGCTCGCATATGTGCCCTGATTATTCATAGACTCAGATTGAGAGGATCAGTCTTTCTGTTTATTGTTCTGTCTGTCTGTCTGTCGTTCTGTCGCTCTATTGTTCTCTCGTTCTAATGTTCTGTCCATCATTCTATCTATTGTTGTATCATTCTATCTATTGTTCTATCATTCTATCTATCATTTTACTGCTCCATCTCTCATTCTATTGTTCTGCCAATCATTCTATCTATCATTCTAACTATCATTCTGTCTATTGTTCTATCTATCTATTTATCTATCTATCTATCTATCTATCTATCTATCTATCATTCTGTTGTTCATTCTATCATTCGTTCTATCGTTCATTTTATCGTTCTATCATTCCATCTATTGTTCAAAGTTTTATCATTCTATTGTTCTTGTTCCATCTATTGTTCTACTGTTCTGTCTGTCTGTCTGTCTGTCTATCTATCTATCATTTGTTCATTTGTTCGTTTGTTCTATCATTCATTATATCTGTTGTTCTAATGTTCTATCATTCTATTGTTCTGTCGTTCTGTCTATCATTGTACTGTTCTGTCATTCTGTTGTTCTGTCTATCCTTCTATCTAATGTTTTATCTATCATTCCATTGCTCTATGTCTCTGTCTTTCTGTTTATTGTTCTATCTATCTATCTATCTATCTAGCTATCTATCTATTGTTTGTTGATTCATTCTATCATTCATTCTATTGTTTTAATGTTCTATCATTTTATTGTTCTATCGTTCTATTGTTATGTCTATCATTCTAGCCATTATTCTCTGTATGTCTGTCTGTCTATCTATCTATCTATCTAGCTATCTATCTATCTAGCTAGCTATTGTTCTATCATTCTATCATTCTATCAATTGTTCTATCTATCGTTTTACTGTTCTGTCATTCAGTTGTTCTGTCTATGCTGACTATCTTTCTATCTCTCGTTCTGTGTATCATTCTGTCTGTCGATTCATCTGCCTGGCAGATAAAATAAAAACTTCAGTGCTTAAATGGTTTTTAAACTTTTAAACAAGGCTTTGTAGTGGTGATGAGTTTGCAACAGATGACAGCTACTCAAATATCTGAAGAAAATGTAAAAATCTTGTTGCTATATTACTTGTGAACCGCTTTCTTTCTCTCTCTTGGGTTTTCAGTCACACTAAAGCAGGCTAATTGGCAGAATGAAGGGTTAGTAGAGCTGAAATATATTAGCATAGATCTCAGAGAGCTGCTGAAGCACAAATGCCCAGCACACCTCCTCTCCGACGCTAGCTGCAGGAGTGGCTCCTATTAGTGACTGGCTGCCGCTTTAATGTCTGCTGCTCCAAATTAGATGCCAACTAGAGAGAACAATTTCTTCACCCCCTCGCTTTCTTCAACGAGCCGCCTTAGTGGAATCAAAGGCTTTTTACTGAGGGGAACCTGACAAAATGTATACTTGGGAATACATATTTACCCTGTGCAAATGAGGGTGCTGGAGCCATGTAGAGGCGGAGACAGGAATTAGACGACTGAGGGGGCCGTCGATCTCAGACACACGCACAAACTCGCAAACAAACATCTGGAAGCAGATTAGGAGAACATTAAGAGGATATATTTCAAGGCCATGATTGTTTGTAAGGTTAAATCAATGTTTACTTTAAAGTCTTACTACCATTCTTCATACTTGTTTATATTCAGGATCAATCACTTCCAGCTGAACGTAAAATTACGGGTCTCTCCTCCTCTGACCGTCATAAGTCACCGCCATATATTCAGATCAGAGCAGTCCTTCACAAATAAACGTCTCTTAGAAGAGGACAGGTCTATGTGCCACTTATATTCATTTGCTTTCAACGGTGCTCATTTCTGGGTTGGAATGTTGCCTTTTTTCAAAGGGGACTTGCTAGGGTGAGAGTAGGGGGTTTCGGGGGTTAGTTAGACTTCTAAGGAGACAGTGAGACTGGAGTTACAGCTTTTCATTAACCTGGAAACCACCTAGTTACATGGTTCATGGGCTGGTCTCAGCTCACTTGGAGGTAACAAAGGGTGTCAGGCGGCACTTTCGGCGGGGGGCGGCTGCTCAGGGCACCCCATCTGACTCTGATCATCATGCCGGCCGCCCTGCCGCACTCATTAGAGACCAGGAATGAACTCGCATTGCTCTTGTTGAAGGGCTCCAGTTACGTCGCCTCACCCCACCCCAAACACGCCCTAAGCCCCTCCTACAGTCTCCGTAGTTTTTTTTAAATGGGGAGGAAGGTATAGAAAAATAAAATTATAATTCATGTTTGTTTTATTGATTTATAACTGTATATTCTGCTGAACTGGTTTGTTTGTCACCCGCATAGTAATATAAATGGCTCTATTGAAAAAAAGTTTATAATATATGCATAATACATTTCATTTATATTACATTTCATTTATATTAGTTGTTCATGCAAATAATTTGAATAGAGCCATTTGAATTATTAATTAATTGACCCTAATGAGTATATTATTTACCAGTGCATACATAAATCGGTAATCAAGCAAAAATGTATTACATTTTATCATTTTATTTATCTATGAAAGACTTTTCAAACTTTTCATATTTTATTTTCCATACAATGGTAACATTTTGAATTAAATATATTAAAAAGTTTTATAATATAATATAATATAATATATAGTGCTGGGCAACGATTAATCGCAATTAATCGAATCCAGAATAAAAGTTTTTGTTTATATAATATATGTGTGTGTACTGTATATATTTATTATGTATATATAAAAACATACCATTATGTATGTACATGTATATATTTATATTCATATAATTTATATTATATATCAGGGCCCACTCTGCTGGGCCCACTTGAGGCCCACTTGAGGCCCACTCAGGGCCCACTTGATATATATATATATATCAAGACTGCTCAACAGCTTTTTTCCCCCAGGCTGTGAGAGCCCTCAATTCCAATCACCTCACCCCCCTCTGAAACCTCATCAACAACCCTACCTCCTGAAACCAGGATCCTCTCTCCCCCCATCCCACCACACCACATGCACCACATGAAAACTGATTAAAAATCTCAAGAACACTGCAATTCTGAGTGTGCTACACACAGGTGAGTGGGTTG